CTGTTCATGGAGAATGGTATCTTGATTAGTATACAACATCCACAGTCAAGAATGGTGGAGGACTGTTTGGGGAGAATGGTATCTTAATTAGTGTACAACATCCACAGTCAAGAATGGTGGAGGACTGCTCGGGGAGAATGATATCTTAATTTACAACATCCACAGTCAAGAATGGTGGAGTACCAGCACAAGTCTGTGGCTGAACCCAAGTCAGCATTGTCGGTGATATAAACAAAACTGACAGCACTCTAGCTCCAGACTAGTACAGGTAGATTTTGATTCATCATTCCATTCTCTCAAGAAACACGCCTCATCAGGTGGGGTTCATCTTCCAAGAAGACAATGATCCTAAGCATACAACATGTGTGTTGAAATGACATTTTGACGGTAGAGAGGCCAATGGAGCACCCACAGCTATAGCTTGGTCTACTTTTTACAACAACAAGACACGCTCAATCTGACGATTGCATGCCAAAACATGCGCCAATTTTAGGCTACGTTCGCCATCTTGGCCTGTCATGTCTCTGTATGGAATAGCATGAATAACTGTTTCATTCTCCAGCTTCTTTATGTATGCAATGGTTTAACGGGACGTAGTATGGTTGGAAACCTTATCTTGATGAGCCTACAACATGCTGGCTTTATTTCCCGACCGAGGCTATTCTTGGTTATGTAGGCTACTGGTACCTGGGGCATGTGGACGGCTTTTGCCATTGACCTTTGTGTTCTTAAGTTCTCACCTGTTACAAGACAACACACTTTACTTACCACAGCTGGAGCACTTGTTACAGATCTGTTTCCGGATTGTTTTGTAAAATTTGTCCCCGGTAATCTTTTGTAATTTTGTGTGTTTAGTTTGTTAAGAGGTCAGAGTAAATTTTATATATTACTTATTATACTACTGGGAGTATACCATTTGTTATGGACCCTTAAATTTTAGATATTTATGACGCAAATTTGTTAGAAATATTGCCGCTGCGGCATGTTTAATTGATAAGGCTCAGGATTTTAAAATTATTGGTGTAATTTATGTCGGTATAATTAGTTAGCAAATTTTTGTTGTTGTTCTTGTGAATTTCACATGAGCGTGTAACTTGTGTTTTTTTTTGTTGGATTGAAGTTAATTATTCATTTGTTGGACGTTTTGAAGATGATCTAGATATGTTTGATGTTGTGTCACTAGATTGTACTTTTATTTGTGTTTAGTGAACTTCTTCGGAATTTGAATTGGTGCAGAAGTTTGTGTAGGGGTGGGACATTTACTTTTAAAGACCAGAGATAGCCAGTGTTTAACAGCAACGAAACAAAGCTACACTAGTTATTTCTTCTCTGAACCACAATGGGTATAAAACTCGATTGTTAGTGTTGTAAGTCTGCAGGCTTTTAAAGTAAATATAAGTATTAAAAATAACCAGTTTAGAGTTGCATTTACCTACCACTCTTGATTACGATATAAAATAAGATATTATCATAGATAAATGCATTTAATTCGACTTTAAATTGATTCTGCTTACCACCTAATAAAATGACAATAGTAAAATCAACACGTTTACTTCTAACTGTAAAACGTGATATCTCAGCCGCAGGGACAGAGTTCTCCAATGGGGGCAGCTGAAATCCTGATTTCCTGCAGACACGCCCTTGTTTGTCTTCCAGTGAGGATATTTGAAACCATCTGACAAGATCATTTCTCACCCTAAGCCACATACAGACGGTCAATCTCACTATTCGTTGCTAAAAGAGTAGCCCAAGAGTTGGCGGTGGGTGGTGATGACTAACTGCCTTCCCTCTAGTCTTACACTGCTAAATTAGGGACGACTAGCGCAGATATCCCTCGTGTACCTTTGCACGAAATTAAAAAAAACAAACTATCTTACCCTTTAATCATCACCACCCACCGCTAACTCTTTTCGAATGATTGGCGAATGAAAAACAGCGGGTGGGGGAGTACTATTCTAAAGGGCAAATCCACTAACTTTTGTGAATTAATATTTATACTTATATGTTTATGCGTGGTAGTAAGTGACATTTCGAAATGGACAAATATATGTATATAAACTAAAACTTGGAAATTTTAATGATCTTCTTAGTTCTAACTATCCTCGAATAGTTTTTCTTAGATTTCTCTGGAACACAATTTATTGCTAACGTTGACATTATAAAAACTGATGAATTAACATAAAGAACGTTATGATATATAAATCACAATGTATATGCTATATTCAGTGCCGACGAGGCCTCTCGCCAATACAAAACAGTGTATTATAATCAATGTAGTGACAATAAAATCTTAAAAGTTTCTTTAAACTTTAAAATTCAATCCATTTGATATTTCTACTTAAACTCCACTTATGACAACGTTTTACTTTCAACCAGTGAGTTTATTTAACATTATAAATAACAACCAATTTGACTTCACATTAGTTTATTTCTACTTAAACTCCACTTATGACAACGTTTTACTTCCAAGCAG